TACAAAGCTGTTCGAGAAAAGAAACAAATCACTTACAAAGGAAAGCCCATCAGAATCACAGCACACTTCTCAACACAAACAGTATTTCAAGCCCTGAAGGAAACAACTTCCTACCAAGATTGATGTATCCTGCAAAATTATCTTTCAGAATTAATGGAGAAATAAAGTACTTCCATGACAAAGAACAACTGAAGGAATTCATGACAACCAAAACAGCTTTACAAAGATATTCTACAGAGAGAAAACAAAACCCACAATTCCAAGAGTACCAATAGAAGCTACCAGGCAGGGGAAACAACTAAACAGAGAGGAAAGACAGGGAACCATCAACACGAAAATTATATGACAAAGATAAGCCAATATATATCAGTTATAATCATCAATGTAAATGGTGTCAATTCACTAATCAAAAGAAACAGACTGATAGAATGGATCAAGAAAAAAATCCAACAATATGCTACATTCAAGAAACTCATTTAATGCAAAAAGAAATTCATAGATGGAAAGTCAAAGAATGGAAAAAAATGCTCCATGCAATAGGAACCCAGAAAAAAAGCAGGGGTAGCTATTCTATGTGCAGACAATGTCAACTTCCAGTGAATAGAGAAGGAATACTACATACTTGTTGAAGGAAATTAAATTACTCAGAATAGAGAAGGATACTACATACTTATTGAAGGAAAACTAAGAGCTCACAATCATAAGTATATATATACCAAATACAGGTGCAACCACCTATATAAAACAAGTATTAATAGACATAAAAAAATCAAGTAAACACTAACACAACTGGAATGGGGTACCTTAATACCCCACTGTCATAAATAGATCAACTAGATTAAAAAAAAAAACAAAGAAATATCAGAGCTAAACCAAACCTGTGACAAAATGGACTTAGTAGATTTCTACAGTGTTCCACCCCACAACATCAGAATACACATTCTTCTCAGTGGTGCATGAAACAGTCTCCAAAATAGACCACATACTAGCTCATAGAACATGCGTCAGTAAATGCAAAAGAACTGAAATCATCCTGTGTATATTATGGACTATACTGCAATGACACTGGAAATCAATGGCAAAAGAAACCACAAAAACTATGTAAGCACATGGAAATTAAATGACACCCTACTGAACAATCAATGGGTCACAGATGAAACTAAAGAAGAAATTAAACATCTACAATTAAATAATAATGCCAATACAATATACTGGAATTTATGGGATGCAATGAAAGCAGTCATAAGAGGAAAATTAACACTGGTGAACTCTCACACCAGGAAAACAGAATGAGCTCAAATAACCTAATGTTGAACCTCACATTTCTAGAAAAAGAAGAACAAATCAAGCCCAAAGCTCGTACAAGGGAGGAAATTATAAAGACTGGAGCAGAAATTAATGCAATTGGGACTAAGAAAACAATACAAAGAACCAATGAATCAGAGTGTTGGTTCTCTGAAAGATTAAATAAAATTCACAAACTCTTATCCAACCTTATCAAAAAAAAAAAAAAAAGGAAAAGACTCAAATTCATGCAGTTAGGAATTAAAGGGGTGAAATCACAATGGATCCTGCAGAAATCCAGATTATCAATACCTACCTTTGAAAACCTTTACTCTAAAAAGATAGAAAACATAGAAGAAATGGACTGATTCTTAGATGGATATCAATTTTCAAAGTTGAACCAAGAATATATAAAAATTCTACATAACCTAATATATCACTCAATGAAATGAAAAATGTATTTAAAAACTTACCAAAAAAGAAAAGCCTAGGTCTCATGGATTCACTTCTGAATTCTATAAGAAATTTAGAAAAGATTTAATGCCATTACTTGCCAAACTCTTTAATGAAATTGAAAAGGAAATAATATACCCAAGGTCATTCCTGGAAGCAAGTATTACCCTGACTCCAAAACTAGAGAAAGTCCTAACCAAGAAAGAGAACTACAAGGCAATATCCCTAATGAACATAAATGCAAAAATCCTCAATAAGATATTGGCAAATAGAATGCAGCAAATCATCAAGAAGACTATACACCATAACCAAGAAGGATTTACCCCAGGAATGCAGATGTGGTTCAACATATGCAAATCAGTAAATATAATATACTATATTAACAGAACCCAGGACAAAAACCATATGATCACCTCAGTAGATGACGAAAAAGCATTTGACACTCATTCATGATAAAAACTCTACAGAAAATTGGAATAGATGGTCTTTACCTCAATTTGATAGAAAGTCATCTACGACAAGCAGTCAAAATCATACTAAATGATTAAAAATTGAAACTTTTCTCTCTAAAATCAGGAAGAAGACAGGATGTTCTCTAATAACATGCCTAATCAATATAGTTCTGGAAACATTATCTAGAGCAATGGCAAGAAAAAAAAATAAAAGATACAAAGATAGGAATGGAAGAAGATAAATTATCTTTATTTACAGATGACATGATACTTAGAAGACCTCAAAAACTCCACCAAAAGACTTCTAGATTTTTTTGTTTGTTTGTTCGTTTTCCAGTACTGGGAATCGAACTCACGACCTCACACTTGCCAGACAGGTACTGTGCCGCTGAGCTAAATCCCCAGCCCCCAAGACTTCTAGATTTAATAGCCAGATTCAGTCACACAGCTGGATACAAAGTCAATACTCAAAAATCAATAGCATTCCTGTTCACAAATAAACTCATGGAGAGAGAAAATAGGGAAACCACACCTTTCACAGTAACATAAAAAAAAATGAAGTACTTAGGAATCAATCTAACAAACAAAGTAAAAGACCTCTACATTGAAAACTATAGTACTCTTAAAAAAGGAGATTGAAGAGAATATCAGAAAGTGGAAAGATACCCCTGGCTATGGGTAGAAAGAACCAACATGGTATAAAAATGGCATTCTCCCAAAATTATTATATAGATTTAATGCAATCCTAACCAAAATACAATTGGCCTACCTCACAGAACAAGAGAAAACATTCCTAAAACATTCATTTGGAACCAGAAGAGACCTAGAATAGCAAAGGAAATTCTAGGCAACAAAGGTAAATGCTAGAGGGGCTGTGGGAAAAAAGGAACTGTTCTCCACTGTTGGTGGGAGTGTAGACTGGTTCAACCACTGTGGAAATCGGTGTGGAGATTGCTCAGAAAAACTAGGACTAGAGGTTCCATTCGACCCAGCTGTTGCCGTTCTTGGTATCTTCCCAAAAGAATTAAAAGCATGATACCACAGTGATATACGTGCACCCAGGTTATAGCAGCACAGTTTGTAATAGCAAAATCATGGAAACAACCCAAATGCCCATCAACCAATGAATGCATAAAAAAAAGTGGGCTTTTAAAAATATAATGGAATACTACTCAGCCATAAAGAAGGATAAACTTGAGACATTCATAGCTAAGTGGATAGTCCTTGAGATCATACTCTTAACTCAAATAAATCAGACATGTATACATATCACATTGTCTTTCTGGTGTGAGAAACTCAAAGTGTAAATAAGAACCAAAATGTGTAACAGACATTATGAAATAGGAAGTAATTGTTCAAAAGGAAAGGGGAATTGGAGGGAAAAAAATGAGAAAAAAAAAGGATACAATGGAAACAAAGATTTGTAAATAAGGATAGTAAGAGGGGTTGAATAGAGGGAAAGGGAATGGGAAAAAAATTCCCTATGATGAATATGATCATTATACATATCAAAATTATACCAATAAACTTAATTTTTATTTTTTTTTAATTTTTTTTAATTTTTTTTGGTTTTTTCTCCGGTACCGGGAACCGAACTCACGACCTTGCGCTTGCCAGGCAGGCGCTTTTTGCCGCTGAGCTAAATCCCCAGCCCCAAACTTAATTTTTAAAAAAGACTAAAACAATAAATAAATAATAAAGACCATGTGTTCAACAATTTTTTGAGAATACACTACAGCTTGAACTGCTGACACCATACCAGAGGCTTAAAATCTAGAAATTATTTTAAGGTAAGAGACATAATGATCACTCAGTAAGTATTTGTTAATGATAATTTTCAAACTATCCATTCTTCCCATCCTTGAAATACCACTTTTTTAATCTTCTGAGAGAGGTGAATATTCTTATTTACTTATTTATTTTGGGGTACTGGGAATCAAACTCACGACCTCATGCTTGCTGGGCAGGCACTGTGCCACTGAGCTACATTCCTGGCCCAAGAGCTGAATATTCTAACTGACATATTTTTCTTTCATATAATACTTGATGGTGATTCTTCTTAATTGCTATGTTGGATCAAGTCTTCTGTCAAATAAGGTCTTCTGTAGCTATCAATCGTAAGTCTACAGAGTGTTGACCATCATAACATTTGTCAGTTCTTAACCTTAGCCTCTAAGAACCAAAGGCAAGTGGTAAACAGACTTACTGCTTTTCTTGTTATGCTTTAATTAAACACAAGGGTCACATTTAAAATTTTAAGTTGGTGAAACAGATATTAACATCTTCTTAAAGCAAACAGTACCATAAATGACCAGAAAAGAACATAAATAATTGGGTTTAAAAAAAAAATATTACCTTTTAACTGATAGGGTGATGCCACTATAAAAATTCTAATACATACCTGCCAACCCTTGAAAACCATAAATAGGAAAATACTGCACATTCTAAGTTAGGCATATTATTTTAATAATAATATTAAGTCAATCTCCCTTTCCTTTTAAAGATGGAGGAAAGTCTGACAAATGAGAGAGCTGGCATGTATGTTTAGTAATACTGCTGTGAGTAACAAATTAAATAGCAACATGACTGATTCGGATCTATGGGAATTTCCATCAATTAATTGAGATGGAAATTATCTTCCATTTTTTTCTGTTTTTGCTGCCCAGTGGAAGCACAAGGCAAAGTGATAATGGGAGATAAGAACACATGACATAATGAGGAAGAGCAGCCAGAGAAAGACACATGGGCTGGAAGCTACTATACAGATACTGCAATGGGCATACTGTGACACAGAGAGCTTCTCAGACTTACCCACACTCACAGACTGAGTCAGCAGAGGAAGCTGGAGTCCTGACTCCCCAAAGACTACACTTCCTGTTAATAATAGCGAGGGCAGCAGGTGAGGGCAAGGAATGCCAACAGTATGGATTAAGTCAAAGGAGTCAGAAAAACACTGGGTACATTTTTACTCACTGTTATTAGTGATTACTAATTACAAATCAAAAGAGCAAATTTAAATACACTTGTCATTTTAACATATTTGTCTTATTGCTTTCTGTCACAACAGCATTGCATTAATGATGTCTTAAAATATCAGCTAAATAACAATGGAATAAAAATAATCATGGATCACTTTTTTCTGGTATAATCCTTATATTTAACAGGCTCCCTTACAAGTATAATAGAGAATGAGTATCTGATGTCTATTTTTTTCTTTTTCCCTTTATATTCTTTTTTGGCTAGAAGAAGTTTCTGTAGTAAGATTAGGTGGTAGACATAAATTAAACGAGACCTCAGTTTAATTTTACTCTCTCAGCCCAGCAAACGGACTAATCATAAACTACTTAAGTTCAAGCTGCTGAGAGGTCTAACTAGCTAGAAATAATTTAGTAATACTTATTAACCATTTATATGTCACCTTTATAACTGCTTTTGCAGAGATGGCAAAGACTACTCCTTAATACATTTGCTTATTCACTGGTGTGATGTTATTAAAAAATCATATGGTGGACTATAATTTTAAGAAAACTGTCTCAAATGCTCCATGTAGGAGACTGTATACTTCTATGATTCTAGTAACTCTGGGAAAGTGTTAAAAAATTTTAGGTAAGCATTTTTATAATTTTAAGATGGTATGTTTTTACTGGTAGTTTTAAGAGCTATTTTATGTTCTAAATCTTCTTTTTTAACACATATGGTTAACTCTTGATCTCCCAAGACTACCTTCTACAATTCTAAGGATAAAATTTGAATATTGAAAAAGTTACTCAAAATGAGGCTTCAACAGGGCTATGGGGGGCTATGGTTCTGCTGATGATGTACCTTTAACTGTAGGCTTTACCCATCCTACTCCTGAAGATAACTAGAACACACTCACATTACTATCATGTTACTGCTATGCTGCCACCTCATTTCAGACTCTGCCAGCTACAAATGGGAGAAAGAAAATTCCCTTAACACTCCCCCTCCCCTCCACATGCATACCACCTGGGTATATGTAGCAATACTCTGAAGCAACTAAATCTTCAGTATCAACAAAACTAAGTAAGAAATCCAGAGCAGAAAAACAGAAGGTGGATGGGTTACAGGTGCTTATGTACTTTGTGAATAAAACATGTTATTTAGTAGGAAACTTTATAAACACCATTATGAAAGAGAGTATCTTCAAAATACTTATAAGATTTCTTTTTCATTTTGAAGGATCCAAGATACTGCCACAAATAAGCATATGAAGGCTGTCACAATTAAGAATTTCATTTGGAGTTGTTAGGTTTATAACTTGCTTTTGAACCTCATAGTTGTGTTTAGTATATATCCTGAAGCCTAATTTAAAATTTTTTAAAAACTTGACTAACAAATATTATATTCAAGCAATATAGAATTATATACATATTTTGCTTTTGATTCTAACTACTGAAAGCATGAAAAGAAATTATCAAAATGTGTAAGGATGTCTTTGAGAATTACATTCTACATTTCAGTTCCTAAACATTAACAGCATAGCCAATGTAAGATAATTTTACAGAAAATTATTTGTTTCTATTATCTCGAGTTATAGAAAAGGAAAATAAAAATCCCATTTTTGTGTTTTGTGTTGGCTATTTAGTATATGTTTATTTATTTTCAATTTATGACATGAGTATTTCTGCCTTGCTGTCAAGTCCAGAGAAAGACAGAAATTTCCTATCTCTTTCACTAATCTCCATGCAACTACACCAGCTTATGTGCAGTCTAAAGAATTCAGTTTCCCTCAAAACAAATGCGTATCACCTTTGTGCACTTCCTGGAAAGACAATAAGCCTAACAGGTTAATGAGGAATAGGGAAGTATTTTCAGGGTAGTCCCTCAAAAAGGATTAGCTGCAAACATATGCCATTTATGTTCTTTTTTGGGAGGCAGTTTGGGAATCGAACTCAGGACCTCACGCTTGCCAGGCAGGTGCTGTGCCACTGAGCTAAACTCCTGGCCCTTTATTTTCTAAGTTGCAGGGCAAGCAAGCAGTTTTCAGTCACTGGGTTCTATAAGCATTGAATCCAAGACAAAGAGTCACCTTGTATTTCCATGTGTTCAACAAACTCAAATAAATAATACTGTCTCTAATAAGTAATCATTAAGAACAGAACAAGAGATGGCCTAAAACTGTTCCTTGTGATAAATTTAATGGATGGTAAAAATCTTAGAAATAATTTTTAAGATGAAACCATAAGCTCAAATTCCTAACAAATACAGAAACTAGTAAAACCAAAGTTCAAAAAAGAACAAATAAATCTCTCCTCTTTACTGAGGCCTAAAACACACTATTTCATAGTAAACAAAATTTCAAAGTCTTTTAATATTGAAGATGGCAAATCGTGATTTTACTGCTACTTGATACTACTATCAACTGGCCTATAGTAAATCTGTGACCATGTTAAGGTGGGCGACACCTTAAAAACACGTAGAATCAGAGACATACCAAGAAGCATTAAAATTCCAAACAGCTTTCAAAAGTGGAATCCATATTAGTTTCTCTGCTTACTCTATAATAATAATGGCAATAACGTAAAAGCTTCAATTTACCATTAGAACTCTTTGAAGTTATTTTGCCTGACAACTTACTAGTCTTGCAAACAACCTTATGAAGGTCCCTCAGAGCAGTTACCTCAGAATGTGGGCACAGGTAGAGTTGCTGTTTCTCAGAAACTGTCTCAACTTGCTGTCTTCCCTGATTTTATGAAGCTGTATTCAATTTTCAGCACTTGAATTTTTTCTGTTCAAGCACAACTGATCTGCTCCTTCAACTGATTTCATTTTTATTCACAGTACAGACCAGCTGAAGAAATGTTGATATCGAAACATGAAGATGGATCTACTCTGTATATAAAATGTTAGAACAAAGCTCAAAGTCTCGGTGTGTACACTGTTTAGTAAATATGCACTACTTACATGTTTCTGTATGATGACCTTCCTTTATGAGGGGCTCACATGGGAAAAGTTAATTGTTGAAATGATGGCCTTATTTTTGAGGTACTACTATAGAATTATTTTGGCCACATTCAGGCATTACACAAGAACATAGTTCTAATAAATGAAACTCAAATGCTGAGGAATAACAATAAAACACAACAAAATATCTGAATTTGACTATTTTATAACATTTAAATAGTACTTCAGTGTGACTGATTTTGAGGGAAATACATTTTGATATTAAATATGATAAAGACCTAAAAAATGAACACACACTTAAAAATGAGTAAAGAAAGAAAGCTAAGTCTTTTCTTCCATACAGTACTTGATATGAATATGCTGTTCACATGACTATCAAGATATTTTTATGTAACTTTTATTTTTTAATTGGCAAATGAAAATTGTATGTACTTATTATGTATGACATGATTTTTTTTGAAATATACTCTATAGAATAGCTAAGTTGAGCTAATAACATAATTACTTAATATTACATATCAATTTTCTTATGGTATGGTTATTTAAAATCTATACTTAGCAATTTTCAAGATTATACTAATATTTCTGCTGCCTAATGGACCCTTTGTATCCTTTGATCAGTATCTCCCCAATAATCTACTTTTCTGATAGCTATACAAAGATTACTTTTCATACCTTGGAATGTATATGTAAATTAAAGTAATACATCATGAGCCCAAAATTAGAGTATGTACATGCTTGAATATAAGGTAAGGGTTCTAACTTCCTGAAGTGATTTATCAGAAAAGGGAATTATCTTGTATTTGAGTCCTTATGCACTATCTCATTATAAGATGCTGTCTTACTTGCTTAGTACTGAAAAAAAGTATTTTTAGGGGAAAAACACTGGCTTAAAAACTAATTTCACTGAAAACTGGCTTTAGATTTACGAAAATATCCTAATGAGAATCAGAAAAAAGAGGAAAAAATCCATACATTAATTATTCCCAGGTTATAACCTGAAAATTGATGCATGTTATTATAAAGATTCCATTTTAAAACTGCTTTTAAAAGTTGTTAAATACTATTCTCTCAGAAAGGATACTAGTCACAGTAGCTAATTCTAGGAAAGTAATTGGGCAGGCAAAGAAAGGACTGAGAGGGTGACCTACTTTTCACTATGTACGTATTACGTTTTAAACCTTGTGAATGTGTCACCCATAAAAAAATTTTTGAACAAAAAAAGGTTAAATTCTAAAACAGAAACTATACCCTCACAAAATGTTACAATCCATAGATATTGTAGAGATTATAAACACACAATCTCAAAAAAAAGTCCTACTGTTTGTAAATGGTACTTGTGATTCAGATATGAAATTTTCAGTGTCAGATCAGGCATGTATGAAAAAAACTTCTGGAATTTAAACAAAAGAGAAATCAAGACACATTTTGGAAATCAGACCTAGAGGGATGATATATGGGGGTATCATATGTTGATAAAAACACTGATAATGCAGAGTTTGGGTAGGATGGCTTTATGAACTATGAAACTAGCAAAAAATCTTTATATATCATGGCACTTCTTCATAAAATGTAACTAAATTAGTAGATTAAACTTTTACCATTTCACTCTCTCCTTAAGAGTTTATAGTGGGAAACTACCATATATTTTGGCTTACCTTACATTCAGGCATCTATGTTAACTTCTGGAAGTGAACATGGGAAACTGTATCAAGTGTATGACCATGTCTGTTTTTTGGTGCAGGAATCAAACTCACGACCCCATGTTTGCCAGGCAGGCACTCTGATGCTGAGCTATATCCCTGGTTCAAGTGTATTACCATGTAACATAAACTTTCTCTTCTCTGTTACAGGTGGCCAGTTTTGTGAGCAGTTATACACTATGATTTACACCAGCACAGCATTGCATTTATTTGTCTATCTATCTTTTAGGGTAGTAATTTGACATTTTAAAATAAGTCCCTGACTCACCAACAATTCTGTTCTAAGAGAATGAGCATAAGCCAGATTTGTTTTTAAGTTCAACAGAGTGAGTCTTATACACCTTTGACACAAATATACAAGGTAAAGCATGAAACAACCAAACGGGATGTCCATTCATAGCTGCAAAAATTTGCAACTTGAATGTTTGTGAGCCAGGAACTTAATGTACTAGCCCATATGTACTGTATAAACCTGATAACTATCACCAGTCAATCAACGACAGCCCCTGAAGGACTCTAACAGCAGCCTAGCCAAGATATTACTCTTCAAACAATCAAAATGGTCAAAAGCTGTGCCTAACAGGTTTCAGATACCAATCAAATCAAATCTTTTTGGGAAAGCAGATGCACACTAAAGACCTTAACTAAAGTATTAAAAATAGCAATGTAAGTCTTCTAACCATGTTTTAAAAATAAGAGAACTACTCAAAACCTAGGAAAGTAAATAACAAGAGGCATGTGAAAGCACTCTTCAGGGAAAGTTATTCTTCTGACTTTAAAAACTGAAAATCTAAAAATACACTTGGAAGGTTAAGACTCATTAGAACTGTGGAAAGCACAGTAAAACCTCTTGCAGTTCTCAATTCTGCCTTTTTAAATATGTATACTCAGTGTGTTCATGAATTTTAACATTTACATTTTAAGTATTAAAAGTAAGTGCGTATTATCTATCTTTATTGATTTATGTTAAAAACTGATAGTACTGTGTTTTCTGTAGACTCTGGAATGTTCTGTGATGAATGAATATTTGCTGAACAGGTCAGGAATGAATAAAAACATTCATCTTGTTTACAAGGACTGAGAATTTGATTATACCCTAAGCCCATTAAAATAAAAATACACGAGAAATTTGTCCCTTAGTGGATCACTGAAATAACTTAAATGGTGCCACTTCTGAAGAAAGCCATTTCCCTATCACATAAGGGAGATAGGGAAAGGGAAGGAGAATGTATGCACAGACGTAATTGTTTTCCCAAGCATCAGTACAGGCACTGACTTTCTGATCATTCCCGCATGTGATCTACTTGTGTGAAAATGGACTGAATCTAAAGTGGCTTTCTAAAGGCAGTGTTAACACCAAAGACACTGGGGAAATAATGAAAGAACTGGATCTAGTGAAATTGTGGCCACTACTCAAATCAGCTAGTACCTTTATAAGGGTATTTGTAATAACAGACGGCTGAATGTAACTGACAAAAAGATCACAAGCAATCAGGAATAAACTGCGCTTACCAAGAGGGTGTCTCTTTCAAGCAAAGTGCCTAGTGCACATGCTGAACAACTTACCATTCTTCCTTTCATTCAGAGAGGGTAAATGCTGACTGGACTGCAAGGAGAGCTCCTGGAATTCATGAGCCACAGCCTCACTTTGAGGACTTGGAGCAAGATGGGCTAGAGGTCCCAACTCATCTTCAGTGTCTACAGCCCCTCCGTGATCCATTGTGTTCCACCCACTGACAACAAGGAATATGAGACACCTTTTATACGTGGCCTGTTGAAGAGACTGGCGAAACAAAAAATGCGTAAATAAATAATTTATTTTTCTCCAATTTACACAAAATTATTAAGATGAGATCCCTGGGTTCTAGTCCAATTTTACTGCTGTGTGAGGCATTATCAATTCACCTATCCTTTCTGGACCTCAGGCTCCTTGTCCAATACACAGAAATAATATACTTACCATCCAAAACACCACTCATATGGTAAACAGAAGTTCAATGATTTTGTATTATGAATTAAAGAAAGGTATACCTACTGATGTCACTAAAGATCTTAATGTAGGCTTAAATAAGAACATCAACTAAGGTTAAAAAGAAAAAAGCAGCCATCTGTCTTGAAAATCCATTTTAAGACTCCTACATATGCCCATGACAATCAAGGAGGCTTCATTTATCAGCCTAAGTCTAGGAGTGAAAACAACAATGGACATACAGTTCATGACAAAGGAAATTTAAGTCTCTAAGATTGGGGTTGTTTTACCACAGCATAAACTAAACCATGCTGACTGATACAGAAATTGGTAACAGTAATCCCCGAAACACAAAAACCCTAAACATGTAAGACACATTTTATGACTGAACAGTACACAGTAAGCAAATTGTTACTATAAGCTTAAAAGATGGTAGTCCATGTAACAGTAAGACTACTACTGCCTACTTATTTAGTAGCAGTCTATACACAGATTGTCTGTTCATTCACCTACTGATGGTCACTGGAGTTATCTTCAATTTTTCAAACAAAGATGCTATGAACACTCTTGTATAAGTATTTATTTGGATATATGCTTTAATTTTTCCTGAGTAAGTACCTAGGAATAGGTAAGTAGATCAACATATCTGCTGTATAGTTAAATATTCAATGAACTGACAAACTGTTTCCACAAGTAGTTGAACCATTTTCCTTTATTAATGGCTGAGTATGTGAATTCTAGTTTTTTCACGTCCTATAGACACTTCACCTAATCAATCTTTTTCATTTCAGTTATTTTTATGGGCATAAGGCACTTCACTGTGGTTTTAATTTGTATTCCCCTACTGACTAAGGATGTTAAAAATCTTTCAATGCATTTACTATCCTTACAGCTTCTTTGGTTAATTATCTGGTGAAATCTTTTGTTCATTTTTAAAATTAAGTGGTTTCTATCTCATAATTGCGTTTTAAGAGTTCTTTACATACTCTGGACACAAGTGCTTTGTCAGATTTTGTGTTTTGCAACTACTTGCTCCCAGTCAGTGGATAATCTTTCCATAATCTTAATAGCGTTTTGTGAAGAATAGCTATTTTTGATTGGATAAAGTACAACTTATTACTATTTTCTTTAATGGATCACTTTTTTTGTGATCTGTACTAATAAATTTTTTATTAACCCAAGGTCATAGAGATTATGTTTTCCTGTGGATACATATTTATATTACACCTTAAGTTTACAATATACTAAGCTAATTTTATGAATGTGGTAAGATAAGAATCAAAGTTTCTTTTTTGGAGTGTAGGGGGGGGATATGGATATCCAATTGTTACAGCACCATTTGCTTAAAAGATTACCTTCCTCTACTATAGTGCCTTTGCACCTTTCCTGAAAGTTAACTGACCATGTATGTGGGGATCCATCTCTTGACTATTTAGTTCCCAAAAAGCCTCAAAGGGGAAGTCCTGAAATTCTATGTGTAAACTTGCTCCAACTCTGGTTGAACCCTGAACTATTCATGTGCAGAGTATACTCCAGGTAGGCCAGCTAAAGCAAAAGTAACCCAACTGAGATTTAGGGACTGCCCAAAACAGGAAAGACAGAATTTGCAAACATGATTTTAGGAAAGTTAACTTTCTGCTAAAATGAAACAATACTTGTAAGTGGAAATCTAACAAAATCTAGAGTCCCTACAACTGTCATTGAGAATCCCCTATCCAATGAAAATATCCTTTCATAACTAAGGCAAAACTGTCTCCAGCAGACACATACTTAAGGAATGTTAAAAAGTCCTTATTTGAGCAGAAAGTAAGTAGTACCATATAGAAATTTAGCGCTTAGGATTTAAAAAAGCATCAGAAGTAGTGGTTTTACATTTCTATATATTATAAGGAAACAGCATAATTTAATTTTTAAAAACCAAGACACAAAGGTTGTATACGGCAAATTATAAAACAAGCATTAAAAATACCAATATTTTTAATGAAATCACCAACACAGGAATTAAAATGAGATTTTAAAAGTATTCAATTAACCCTAATTAACCCTAAAAGCAATTAACCCTAAAAGCAAAGGAGGAGAAACCCTAAAAGCAAAGGAGGAGAAAAAACAAACACATGTCTGTGATTTATTACAATGTATTATAATCTTAAAAACTGCTAAGTATAGATTTTAAATATCCATACCATAAAAGAATTATTAAGTAGCATTTTTTATTTTAAAAATAATGAAAACATATTACACAGAGACATAAACAACATAAAAACAATAAAAGCAATAGGAAATTAACAATGGTTTTGTATTACATATTGTTATCTCCAAATTGGTGACTCAGACAAATATAGGCATGTAAGAATGATCAAACAAGCAGTAATTGTTCTTTTCAATAAAGCAACAGAAATTAATAGTACAATTATCTTAGCTATCTTGTGTATACATATATATATATATATTTCCTTTCTTTCTTTCTTTCTTTTTTCATTCCCTCACCCAGTTGTTCTATCCTTTTGCACAGTTTCAAAGGGATTTCACATTATCCACCGTACCTTTCAGATTTTATTTACTCTTTCAAGTTCTTATAGTAGGAAGACAATATGATGTTTACACCTGTGGGTCAGATTTATTTCACTTGAGTATGGTCTCTAGTTGCATCCATTTACCTATAAAAGCCTTGAGTTTATCTTTCTTTATAGCTGAGTAGTATTCCATTATATAAAACTACCATATCTTTTTCATTCATTCCTCAGTTGATGGGTATTTGGGTTGCTTCCATGATATAGTTATGGCAAATTACTCTGCTATAAACAGGGATGCACATATGTCATTGTGCTATGATGTTTTTAGTTCTTCTGTAAAAACATCCAAAAGGGAAATAGCTGGGTTAAATGGGACCTCGAATCCTAGTTTACTGAGGAATCTCCAGACTGATCTCCAGAGTGGCTGTACCAGTCTACACTCCCACCAACAATGGAGAAGGGTTCCTTTTTCCCCACAATCCCTCCAGTTATTTGTTACTGGTTGATTTGTTGATGACAGCCATTCTTTCTGGGGTGAGATGGAACCTCAGTGAGGTTTTAATTTGCATTTCTCAAATGACTAATGATGTTAAACATTTTTTCATGTATTTATTTGCTATTTGTATTTATCTCAGAAGTGTGCATTCATCTCAGATGCCCATTTTTTGATTGGGTCTTTGAATTTTGGGGGCCTGACTCTTTTTAACTATATGTTCTAGATAGAAGTCCTCTGTTTGAGGGACAGTTGGATAAAATTTTTTCCCAACGTGTGGGTTTTCTTTTTACTTTGGTGGTTTCTTTTGATGAGCAAAAACTTTTCAATAAGAGGAGATCCTAGTTGTTGATTCTTTTAAGTATTTCCCATGCAGTTTGGTTTTTGTTCATAAACTCTCTGCCTACCCCTATGTCTTCAAGATTTCTACCTACTTTCTCTGCCAGTAGATTTAGTGTTTCTGTTTCGATATTTAGATCTTTGATCCATTCTAACTTTAGTTTAGTACATGGTGATAGACATGGGTCTAGTTTTCGTCTTTGGCATGTGCAGAGCCAGTTTTTCCAGCACCATTTATTAAAGAGGCTATCTTTCTTCCAGTGAACATGTTTGGCCCCTTTGTCAAAGGTAAGTTGGCTGAATGTGCTTGTGATTGTGGCTGCATCTTCCAGTCTGTTCCATTAATCCTCAGTTGTTTTTTCGCCAATACCATGTTGATTTTATAAACAGTAGCTTTGCAGTATAATTTCAAGTCAGTGATTGTGATGCCACCTGACTTGTCTTTGTTGCTTAAGATTGCTCTTGCTATTCTGGGTCTCTTCTGGTTCCAGATGAATTTTAGGAATGTTTTCTCTAGATCTGTGAGGTATACTAATGGTATTTTAATTGGAATTGCACTGAATCTTTGCAACAATTTTGGGAGTATGCCCGTTTTCACAATGTTGGTTCTTCCTATCCAGGAGCAAGGAATATCTTTTGATTTTCTGAAATCCTCTTCAATCTCTTTTTTCAGAATACTGTAGTTTTCACTGTATAGATCTTTTACTTCTTTTGTTAGATTGATTTCTAAATATTTAAGTTTTTGGATGCTATTTTGAAAGGTATAATTTCTTTAATTTCTTTCTCAGTGTGTTTGTTGTTTGTGTGTAGGAATGCTATTGATTTTTGAATGTTGACTTTGTATTCAGTTACATCACTGAATTTGTTTATTAATTCTAGGAGCCTTTTGGTACAGTTTTTGGGGTCTTCCATGTAGAGTATCATGTCATCTGCAAATAATAATAATTTCACTTCTTCCTTTCCTATTCTTATTCCTTTTATTTCTCTCTCATGTCTAATTGCTCTGGCTAATGTTTCCAGAAGTATGTTAAATAGGAGTGGTGACAGTGGACAACCTTGTCTTGTTCTTGATTTTAGAGTGAAAGCTTTCAGTTTTTGTCCATTTAATATGATGGCTCTTGGTTTGTCATAGATGGCTTTGATCAGATTCAGGCAAAGACCACCTATGCCTATTTTTTGTAAGGTTTTTATCCTAAATGAGTGTTTGACTTTGTCAAAAGCTTTTTCTGCATCTATTGAGATGACCATATGGTTTTTGTCTTTGTCTTTGTTGATAAGGTGTATTACATTTACTGATTTGTGTATACTGAAGCATCCATGCATCCCTGGGATGAATCCCACTTGGTCATGGTGTATAACCTTCTTGATGATTTGCTACATTCTGTTTGCTAGTATTTTATTGAGTATTGTTGCATCTATGGTCGTTAGAGAGACTGGCCTGCAGTTCTCTTTTTTGGTTGAGTCTTTTT